CCCCTTGGGGATGCTCTATTTTTTGAGTAGGGAGATTATCCTCGTTCCTTGAGATGGGATGTGCACCCCCTTGGGGATGTTCTATTTTTCGAGTAGGGAGATTATCCTCGTTCCTTGAGATGGGATGTGCACCCCCTTGGGGATGTTCTATTTTTCGAGTAGGGAGATTCTACTCGTCTCTTGAGATGTGATGTGAACCCACTTAGGGTTGAAAGGTAAGGGTCATGCCCAACCTTAGGATGGGGATAACTGCCCACTGTAGGATGAGGCGCTCGAGACCTATGGTCTGAGGTGGATGCGCACGGTTGTGCCATTGGTTCGCGCGTGCGCGTCAGACCCTTTTTCTGTTTTTGAAGTAGGGACGTGAAACACTTGATGGGATGTGAAACCCCTTGGGGTTGAAAGGTAAGTGGATGTACCACCCTTGAGATGAGATGCCCAACTTTAGGATGGGATAGCCCCCCATTTAGGATGAGGCGATCACGAACCACTGGGGTGAGATGCCCAACCTTGGCGATTTATGGTGCCACTGATTCAGTGGCAGCACGAGTTGAAGCTTCCGCGATTATACGCTGAAGGTCCTTATCGGTTATCTGAACCGTTAGAGGAGCTAGTAGAAGTTGATCTTGTTGAAGGTTCGGCGATCATGTGTTGAAGGTCCTCTTCGGTTATCTGAACCGTTCGAGGGGACGGAAGTAGACTCCCAGAGAGTCGATGACCCATGGCGAATGAAATGTTTTGGGGGCACTGTGAACCCCCAGGGAGTCGATAACCCTTGGCGAACGAAATATTTTGGGGGCAGATGTAAGCCCCCAGGGACTCGATAACCCTTGGCGAACGAAATTTTTTGGGGGCGATGTAAGCCCCTAGGGAGTCGATAACCCTTGGCGAACATAATATTTTGGGGGCAGATATAAGCCCCCAGGGAGTCGATAACCCTTGGCGAGCGAAATGTTTTGGGGGCACTGTATGCCCTCAGGGAGTCGATAACCATTGGCGAACGAAATATTTTGGGGGCAGATGTAAGCCTCCAAGGAGTCGATGGCGGTGGTGCCATAGGTGGCTCCACATGTGGAGCAGGTGTTGGTATCGCGTTGGGAGCATTTGCTCCCATCGTGCCGATATATTGGGTCACGGCCTCTGTGGCAGCGCGAGTTGAAGATTCTGCTATCATGCGTTGAAGCGCATCCTCGGTTATTTGAACCATTCGAGGAGCAGGGAGTGGTGGATCGGCGAGTGGTGGGTCCCGATGGGGGATCACCTGAACCTCGCGAGGTGGATCTGCAGCACGTGGAGGAGCTAGTTCCGCGGCACGTGGAGGAAGTGGCTCCGCGGCACGTGGAGGAGGTGGCATGCCAGATCCTCCACGGACTGGGAGGTTATTAGCTGTGTCATTTTCTCTCCGAGCTGACGCCTCAGGAGGATCTTGATTAGCTGTGTCATTTTCTCTCCGAGCTGACGCCTCAGGAGGATCTTGATTAGCTGTGTTATTTTCTCTCCGAGCTGACGCCTCAGGAGGATCTCGATTAGCTGTGTTATTTTCTCTCCGAGCTGACGCCTCAGGAGGATCTTGTTGGCTACGTGATCTGGTTTGCATCGTTCCCACAGACGGCGCCAAAATGATGATGCTAATTACTTAGATCACCTGGGGTAGTGTAGAAAACGAACTGGGAGAGCAAAGCGGATCAGTAGCTTGACAACTTGATGATCCTGAGGTACCTGCGATCATAGAACACACGTGAACTACGCCGGGGGTTGATCCGGCGGAAACCCCTCCGACGCTCAAGTCAGACGTGCTGATCATAGAAATAGTCCAGAGAATACGTATTGTAGTATTGCTCAGTTAATAGGACGTACCTTAAGGAATGAATTCAAACCTTTATTTATAGCTTAGTTGAGATTGTCGGGCCCAAACCTTACTTGAAGGTGATTGGGTCTCGGTGATAGTGGTCTTCGATATTGGGCTCGTGGCCCAGTAGGTAAGTAATTTGTAGGCCCATTGGGTTGACCCAATTATGCATATCAAAGACCATCTTTATGTTATTCATAGATTCTCAAATCTTATAATTTAAATTAATTAATTAACCAAAATGATAAATAAATAAGTCCCGAATTCTTGATCAGCAGCATAAACATCCTGTATATAATATTTTTATCCACCAGTCTATCTATATCTATACGTGTATTGTATTTATCTGTATCTATCTACTATCTAGCATCTAGTGTGTGTACTGTGTGCTAATATAAATAGATACAAGAAAAGCCTTCTCCCTCCTCTCTCTCTCTCTTATATGCTTCGTAGTTTGAGCTGAACACACACACACACGCACAGAGATATTTGTGGTTAGGGTTTAGCGTTGAAAAAAAATTAAAAAAACAGAGAAATATTTCCTAGTATTAATTAATATGAGTAACTGGCTGGGTTTCTCACTCACTCCGCACCTGAGAATCGGCGGCGACGGTGATCAAGACGACGCCGCCGCCGCCGCGGCGGTAGAAGCAGACAACAATGGCGGCTTCCCTGTTGATGTTATCCGCTCTGATGGCTCCTTCTCCCTTTTCGACTCTAATCATTGTATATACATACATACATACACAATATTTATATATTCTTCTTTAATTTGATAAAAAAGATTTCATTTTTATTTTTTTGGTATTTGTTTGTAGATTGGAGATATGATAATGGTATGAATGGACCCAGCCCAAGCGAAGAAGCTCCAAAATTCGAAGATTTTCTTGGATGCTGTTACTCTAATTCGCCGCCGCCGAATGACGCGCGGCCCGCCGGAGAGATTAACATGAACGCGCCGCCGAGTTTCATGTGCGACGGTGTTGATCGTACAACGGAGGATTTCATCGCCAACAACCACCCGTCTCTCTTTTTCCATCCATATCAGTACAGCATAGTCCCTACCGCAAATCCCCACGCGGCGGTGTACGGCGGCGCTGGTGGTGGTGGGGCTCCAGCTCCTGCAGACTTCAAGTCTTGGTCGTTGCAGCAAACGGACCACAAACCGGCGGTGGATACTTTTCGTCGTTGTGATTTTCAGGGGCTGTCTTTAACGGTGAGCCCCAGCTCTCAGACTGATATAGTAGTGGGAGCGGCGCCGCCGCACGTGGCGGCTGATGGGAAAAAGAGGGTGGCGCCCAAGTTTAGTAGTGGTGTTAAGGAGGCTGTGCCTCGCAAATCAATCGATACTTTTGGGCAAAGAACTTCTCAATTTCGCGGAGTTACTAGGTGTGTATTAAAATATAATAAATTAATTAATTTATTTAATTAAATAAATAAAAATAATGGTAGAAATAATTAAATATATAATTCATCAGGCATAGATGGACTGGAAGATATGAGGCTCATTTGTGGGATAACAGTTGCAGAAAGGAAGGACAAACCAGAAAAGGCAGACAAGGTTATTTTATTTATTTTTATATTTTATATTTTATTATAATATAAATAATAATATTCAAATAATCCCTTCTTTTTTTTTTTTTAATTATTCTAACAATTTAGTTTCATGCAAATTGGATTTGTTCTGCTACTCAACCAACAGTGTATCTTGGTAAGTTGTGTTGTCATTGCAAATTGTTATTATTAGAGATTAAAATCAATATTTTATTTTTTATATAAAAACGGGCCGGGCTTGATAATTATTATCTACAGGAGGATATGATAAAGAAGAAAAAGCAGCTCGGGCTTATGATTTAGCTGCCTTGAAGTATTGGGGACCAACTACACACATTAATTTCCCTGTAATTTTTTAATTATTTTTTCAATTTTTTTTTGCTTCACATTTTCCATTTTAATCCTTTTAACATTAAAATTGAATATTTTATTTATTTATTATATTTATCAAATCAGCTAAGCACATATGAACAAGAGCTTCAAGAAATGGATAACATGACTAGGCAAGAATTTGTTGCCCATTTAAGAAGGTAAATTTTATATATATATTAAATCCAATTTTTATTTTTTTTATTTTAATAATTCTTGAAAATTCCCTTCTTGGAATTTGATCTTGATTTTTTTTATTTTCTGTGAGCAGAAAAAGTAGTGGATTTTTATGTGGAGATTTCTTGTTCAGAGGAGTAACAAGGTCACATTATTAATTTCAATAAAAAAAAAAAATTACAATGTCACACACACACATATATATATATATATATATATATATATATATATATATATATATATATATATATATATATATATATATATATGGGATTGAAGTTACAGCCCATGATGCATTGTCTGATGAATGATTTCTCTTACATAAATTTGGTTTGGTCTTAAAAGAAAAATTCTAAAATGTGTTTGTTGTTGCAGGCACCACCAGCATGGAAGGTGGCAAGCCCGAATTGGAAGAGTTGCAGGCAATAAGGACTTGTACCTTGGTACTTTCAGTAAGTTTGATTGTACCTTCTTTATTATTCATATTTTTTTTTTACCTTTGGGTAAGTTTCTTCAACCAGCTAATTATTAATTAATTGTGGGGTTAAAAAAACTAATGATTAATTAATTAGGTACACAAGAAGAGGCAGCAGAGGCATACGATATAGCAGCGATAAAATTCAGAGGGACGAGCGCCGTAACGAATTTCGACATAATTAGGTACGATGTGAAGAGGATTTGTTCCAGCACGACCCTAATCGCCGGCGACCTAGCGAAACGCTCCCCGACTCGGAACCATGCGGTGGGCCCCACCGACCACTACAATTCCAGCGCGTCTTCTTCAGCTTCTCCGGCAAGGGCTAATAATAATAATGGTAATAATAATTGCCGGGCGATAGTAACTTTTAATATGGAGTCGTCGACTTCCGACAATGAATTAATGGCGGATGATAATACGACGTGGAATATTAATGGCGGCAACATCGATCAATGGGCAGAATCATGAGATAATTCCTGTGTTTGCTTTGTGGAATGAGTGATGAAGAAGATTATGATTATATTAATCGGAAATAAATTAAAATTGGTACGGTTTATTATCGGTTTTCGACTTTTGGTGAAGAAGATGTGTTCTTTGTTCACCGGAATTTTGCAGAATTTTCTTACAGTTTTTTTTTTTTTTTGTTATTATAAGAAGTTAGATCAGATAAATTAAAGGAGTGTTTTTTTTTTTTATTATTATTAATGTGTGTTTGATGAAAAGCAGAAAATTTGATGCTGGGGATTGAAATGATGTG